ATGCGTGCGTTCGGGTTCCAAAGTGGGAGCTTCCTATGAGCAGGGAAGCCAGTTGCAGAAATGGTATGCCAGTGGAGAACATGTCGTTTGCTTTGGGATGAGGAGGATGAAGGAATGTGCCGGATATGCTGTCGGAGAAAGTGTTCGGAAAAAGGCTGAAAAAATAAGTCAGAGTTTGATCTCGGATATGATCCTACCCTGTACCAATACCAAGAGATGCTGCGCAGCGCTTCTCTGAGCAAGGTCGCAGGAAGTTTCTCGAGCGGACTTGGTCCAGCGCAACATCGTCCCAGGCGTGTTTAAACCGGGTGCTTGTGGAGCCCGGGGCTGCTTCTGACGGAAAGCTCTGGCCACAGCTTTGCCCCACCCTCTAGCTTTAATAAAGCTGTGGCATGTTTCGAGGCTTCCGATTCTCGGTTTAATGCAGCAGCACGAATATAGGCTGCATTGCTCGTGTACCAACTTTGTGCTTTTCTCTACCCGTGTCAGGTGTATCAGTTGTGCGCCGGGGCATCCACGTCTTGGAGGGCCTGCTAAGGCCCGGAAGCCTTTGGCAGCTGCTATGGTAGCTGAGCAGCTAGCTGGGAGGCTTTTGCAAAGAAACGACACTCACTCCGAGGGATATAACGACTCGCAAGGTGTTGCTGCCAAAGCGCCCGACATGCAGACTACCTAACTGAGGGCAATGTGGCAGGTCTCGCCCCTCGCTGGAACAGCTTACAGCAGCCAACAGGCCTGGAAAGTTACTTTCAAGCGGAGTCTCAGTGGTGATCTGACAGTTGGCGATTGTCCGTTATTAAACGATAAGCGCTCAGGATGAGGGCTTGTCGTCTTGGGACACAGGGGCTGAATAGGACACAGGATAGGCATACTTGTCCACACCTTTTGTAAGCCGGGGCCTGCGCTTTGCTGCAAAGCATTTCGTGCACTGACGCGTCGTTGACTCTCAAACTTGGCTTGATAGACCGGTAGCTGCAGGCTGCCAGCCTGCTAGCTGACACCTGATGGCGCGCTTCATGCATTTGCTCCGAAAGTGCTCTGCTCGTCCACGGACCTCCCTTGGATCGCCACCCGTGCCACCGTCAGGCTGCCGCCAAACTACATCGACAAGGCCTGACGGAGAATTGGGGTGGGTTGTCAGCACGTTCCGTATTGGTGAGGTAGAGGTGCTGGCATCGGCCTTCTTCTGCATGCCACATTGTGCACTTTAAACTCGCAACGCGAACCCTTCAGCCTGCAGCCATACTAGATGCGTGACCCGGGCCACAGATGTTTCCTGACGATGCAAGCGGAAGCGCTGCGCCGAAAGCGGAGCGCCAGCGAACTCAGACTCAGAGACTCAGAGCCTGAGGAAGATGAGAGGACGCTCCTTGGTGTCTGGTCTTGTCTGCATCAGCATTGCACAACTCCTGAGCCGGAGCGGGGCATTTCCCAAGAGATTGACAATGGCATCATGGTGGCTTTGAGGCAAGCCAGCAGTGTCGCTGAATCAACTTCTTTCCCCGCCCACGGCTCAGGCACAACCTCGCGAATATAGCAGTCGGTTCTAAGCATAGCGCATAGCGGAGACTGACCAATAATTCTCTTTCCGAAAGCACCACCTTCTTCGCTTCACTTCCCCAGGCCCAGCAACAGGCCGGCAGCGCCGGGGCCGCCGGGCGCAGCTGTGAGTCCTGGGCCGCCAGGCGCGGCGCAGAGCGCAGGGCGCACGGTCGGAGGCCTTGAACACTCCCAAGCCAGTCCCTCGAAAAACTGTGCAATTGCAATCCGGCACAGAACGGACGGGACAGTCTTGTCCAAAGTCTAATTCCGGCTTCAGGTGTGCATACCCTGCCAGTCCTCTTGAGCTTGACTCCTGTGTTGCAGGCCCGGGGCCAGGGCCCCCAAACTACATGCCTGTGCCGGGTGGTCAGGCCTGGGGATACCGAAAAGACAGCCTGTGAGCCAAGTTACGATTGGTCGCAGTCAACGCAGGTGCCTGTCGACCCTGCAGTCTTGGCAACCTGGATGGTGCAGGCCTGTTCGCCAAAAAACTCGCAGATGCTGCCATCTGCGCTTCCTTCGTTCGCACGTGCAGATTTTTGTTTCTTTACCTGTCGGCCCGCCAGGCGGCCATGATGAAGAGCCCATCGCCCATCACTGGACTGCCGCCCTACCCCGGCACTATGCCACCGTTTGCCGGGGCGCCCCATCCTCAGTCAATGCTGCTGCTATTGCATCGTTTGGTCCCCTGCTTTATAGCAGTCTGGACAGTCCGTGCAGAACAATCCTGGGTCCCAGACCTTTGTTCGCATGGTCCGAGGATGCCAGCTGCAGGATTTCCTCCTGGGTTCACGCCTTAGGGCTTTGGGTTTCCATGCGCATGTGAGTGCTTCGGTTTTTTCGTGCATGTGGATTTGCACCGTGGAGCCACAGTGTCAAGAGTTGCGAAAGCAAACGGGCCACGGTATGCCCCACCTTTGTACCCGAAGCAGTCTTCAAGAGATTTCGGAAGCACTCTGCAGCGCTGTCTTCAAGCTCCCGACGCAGGGCTGCATTCCCCCGGCCCGGCTTCCAGCCTCGGGTGTCCGAGCCCCGAAGTTTTTCTGGCATTCTGGGGTCATGGTAAGTCTGGTCCTCCCTTCTACATATCCGTAGCACGTTCCCTCGTTCTTCGGCACTTACGGCCAATACTCGTGTGCATTGTTTGGAGCATTTGGGCGCTGTCAGTCGGCCAGTAGTTGATTTCGCAGGCATCTGGAAAATCATTGCAGAAGTCCGATTGAAGTTTGCACCGACTCCCGTTCGGGGGGCAGAGTTTGAGTACATACCGGCAGCGGCTCCAAAAAAACAAGTGCTCAGCTTGCGTGACTTTCTCTCAGCCTCCTTATCAGGAAACAGGCCATAGTGCGTACATCACTGTCCTGAATTTGGTTTGGACGGCTAGTACAGCTTTTGAATCGAAGGACAACATTACTGGACCCTGTGTCGACAGTGTGCACCCAAAGCAACTGCGTCCCAGGCAAGCGGCCCCGGGCTCGGAAGCGAGCGAGGCCAGGTAGTCGGAAGTGGGCAGATGTGGGAGATTGCAACTATCCCAGCAGCGCAGGACGCGACTTCGGGCATCTCGCCCACAGCTCGTGCGGCTCAGAAGGTGCAGCAGCCTGACTCAGCCACATTTGAGAGCAGCAGCGGTGGGACATGTATTTGGTTGCGAGCCATGTGTGGAATGCTTGGCTGAGCGTACAGTGAGCCGGTGAGCCGTGCTCCTCGAACAGTCTAAACATGAGTGATTGGCAGCCTCCGAACAACATCGGGGTGGACATGATCGCTCCGATCCTCGGCATAGTCTCAGGTTCAGAGGTTGCAGAGTGGTCACAGCTTTAGGCACCTCCGGATGTACATCGCTTTATGTCTTGTGTTCTCAGACGTTTTACCGGCAGCGTCCGGTGCCACAGTCTCTGGTCTGAGGATACGGCCCCCGAAGCCCTCCATTCAGGCACAGCCAGTCCGTAAAGACTTCTCCCTGCATCGCATGCGGCCCATGATTTGTCGGGCTAACAGCGAGCATCCATTCTGCGGAATCAGACCATGCCGTACCAGTAGTATGGTATCATGCAATGAAATCCGAAAGCCGATCATTTTTGTGAGCATGGCTTGGAGCAGGGCGAGGAGGGTTTCGTACACAGCTTCACAGCATTGCTGAAGGACATCATAGGACTTCCTCCGCACAGCGTTTCTAGACTCAGACGTTGCACGACGTGCCCGACGTCTGCTCCCCCAACCCCCCCCCCCCCAACCCCCGCAGGCACAGCGCGCAGCGAGCCCGCAGGTCCCTGCCGTCTCGAGGACAGGCGGTGCAAGGGCGCTAAACGGTGTCGAGAACTTCGTAACATCTTCCAGCCTGACTTGAGCCTGTCCGATAGAGTTGCACGAGGGGGAGGGGAAATTCTGAAAGCTTCTGCGAAGCATTCATGAATAGCCACAATCATCCATTGAGTGCGCTAGGACGCTAGGAAACAAAAGGCACTTGTTTTTCAAGCTGGAGCAGCTATAGCATGCACTGCCACCTGCCTCCAGTCTCTGACCGAAAGCATCTGCACCCAGTTCGACACCTAAAGGCGTGGGTTTCAACGAGGCTCTGAGCTTCTGTGCCTTTGCCCAGCGCAAACGGGAGCTCCACGCGGCGCAGGACCGAGGTGCCGCCGTTCGTGGCGCTGCTCGCTGCGCAGCTGCACTTAGGGGATGCGGAGTATGAGGTGCCGGTGTCCTGCTGTTCACAATAACACATCGAGATCGCTGCAAGGAAAACTTCTGCAACCACATGCTTGGCTCGGACCCGGTCTCTCCTCCCGGAAGGCCGCCGGTTTCGGCATCAGTTCTTGAGTCGCTGTAAGTACAACTGAGCTCACGCATTTTGGTTGGAGTTTGGCACCTGGTCGAAAGAAAACGTGGTGCTGTGATGCTGCATGCTTTACCAGGTGATGGGGTGCCTCAGGACCGACACGAGCTCGGCCGGAGCTGAGGAGGTGATTTTTCCTTGGCATCGTAGACGTAATCGTATCCGTGCACCAGATGCGGAGAGCGTAGGCTCTGAGGCTGGGGTTTCAAACCGGTCTTGGTTTGTGCGATGCGAAAACGCAGCAGCCCTCTTTTGCAAAGCACATTCTGCGATGGCTCCACTACTTTGCCCTGAGCCCGAGTCAGAAGGAGCATGTCTTGCATGTGCAGGCGAACAGTGATTCGACTGAAGCATCGCTGATCTCAAGCGCTTGATTCTTGATGCCCCTATCCAGCATGTGGGCACCACTGCTTCGGCAATCATCTGCCACTGGCATAGAAACGACACACAATAGAACCAACCTCAGCAAAGCTTCCTAGAAGTGTCCGGGGACGACATAGGAAAGATTCACAAGAGCCTGCGCAAGACGATAGCTCTTGAGAGCTGTCTTGGTGAGTGTCTGAGCTCGGCAACGTTCCTTCGCTGCTCCAAAGCCGCAGCCGCACAGGTGCGTGGAGAGATGGCAGATCTCAAGATTACTGAAAAGCCTGGCTCTCAACTGGCGGCCTAAGGAACATCTTCCTTCAGAGTGAAGCTTTGACACGAGCATCAAGTCATCTGCTTGCGTCTCGTCTGACGCCCGACTTCTTCAAATGCACCCGAGCTTCCATCTCAGGACAACGTTGGCCTACCAGAAGTTCATGGCGGAGGCAGAGCACCGGCAAAGAAGGTGTCCACAAACTCCCTATCCCACCCCTCCGCTTCTTGCAACAACGGCTGATACTATGGCTTCGTTCATCAGGCTGACAAGCATGTGCAGAAGATGCGACAAAGTTGGCAAATGGAGGCCAGCAGCTGTTTGTTGCAGACGCGACCTCTCGAATCGCCCTTATGCCGTGCAGCCTGGCTCGACCTGCTTGGAAGGAATTCCACGAGAAGTGTCGAAATGAGTACGAGAAGGCTTGTCGCGGAGCTGGAAAGAGTTTCTGGTAGCACCCGTAGTTCTGGTTTGGGTGGCTTGGGGCTATAGCAAGGCGGGGTGCTGGCAGCACTAGACAGAAAGGCAAGATGTTACTCTAGACAGTGTTCATTGAATATAGCACGAATTCATGGAATTAGGATGTCCTGCGCTTTCGAAGCAAGTGCGCCGGTGCTCACGTACAGCAAAGCCAACTGATCTGGGAGATGTAGGATGCAGCATGATGCAGCCGTGTTCCTAAGCCCCCGTTAAAACCTTGCAGCTCCTGCTTGCAGCTCTTCGGCCGGGTCGGCCTTCGACCTCTGGAGAACATCCGAGGCCCGGGGTGTACAAATAGGGCCCGGCCAGTCCTCTGGGCAGAAAGAGTTTTTGGAGATCTCGTCAAGTCAGAGTAGGACACATGAACACACTGGTTTCATGTTTCTTCTCTCTTGCAGAGGTGGCAAGCCGAAGCCGCGGTACCTGATAGATCGCGCAGCTCTCCCAGAATCTGAGGCAATTTCGCGGTCAGAGGATTGGGGGCGCGAAACTGGGGCTCTTCGTTTTGGGTTTCTGTACAACCGGTGCACACGGATGCTTCGACCCGGCAAACAAGATTCAGCCTGAAATTTCCGGGCATGGTATCTGGGGTTGCGTTGGCAGCAGTAATTGCCTAAAGAGCCAGCGTCTCTTGAGTGTCTGAAGGGGTTGTAGCTTACTGTTGGGACCGCAGCGTTTTGGCTGAAAGATGCTGACAGCACCAGCATGCGTGAAGCCATGTTGCCCCCAATCTCGCACACTCCACTACGTAGTAGCAAGTAGAAGTCTAGCGGCTAGCGCAAAACAGCACTCACCTTTAGCCAAGCCCAGGAAATGCCAGGAATCAGCGCTTGTTCTGTGTCTCCGGGATCGCGACCCACCATGGCCCTGAGACCGAAGCGCCGGAAGTCCAGTGCCAAGGTCCTCCCTCCGAACGTTTCCTATGTCCCAGGCCTGCCAGAAAGACACCAGACATTTCTGCTCGTTTGGTTGTCATTCCTTTTTGAACTGCAGATGGTGGTGCGGCGGCTGCGCCATCGCCCGTTGCATCGCCGGGTGAGGACCTGGATCGGGAAGACGGATTTGGATAGATGTTGGGTGTATCTTCTCGGGGCTTTCCGGCCAGACGTACTGTCTCTCTCTGACCTTGCTGTTCTCTTGCGGGAAAGACGGTTAACGGGCCTTGTGGGGCCCGGGTTCTCCAGGACAGCGTCATCCTGAGCATGAAGCCAGGCGCCGGGATTCGCGGGGTAGGTCTGTGGAGCTCTGCAGCTGAAGCTGAGCTTTTTCCCAGAGGTCCAAGAGTTCCATCATGTTCAGGCACTTGTGGCGAGTGGGAGCTGCATTTAGCCCGATAGCATGATGACTCTACAAGTCTCGGCCCATGCTCATTCGCATGCGTCCCATGCTCCGGCTGTGGCTCTGACTTCTTATCTTTGGAGGCCCTGTGGTGGGAACCTACACCATCGCCGACATAAAGGCAAAGTTTCAGGCGCTGGACAGGCCAGGCCTGTTGCTTCCCGGTTCTGCTGAGCGGCCCAACTTCGTACCTAGGAACGGCGATGGAATTTTGAGTCGGGATGCGAGCTTAGAAGTCTCTGCAGTTGTGGGCCGTTTGTCGCCGTCCTCGGTCGCCATGCACTTCCTCGATTTAAACCAAGGAGGAGATGGGCGTGCTTCTCCGAAAAGGGCGCGACGACATCACAGACGAGGAATTGGCTCCTATGCGTGAATTCAGCCGGCTGAAAGTCCCCCCTCCTCTCCTTGACATCAGAACTGTTGTCTCAACAAGAGCAGATTTGCCGTTCGGTGGCATAGTCGCTCTGAGTGTGTGAACTTTGGGGAAACATGGTTTCAGCCCAGGGGGTGCTCTGGGACGACATGAACCACGATGGCGACGAGGCCTCTCACGGTTAAAGTGCCGTTTGTCTCCATGAGACCATGAGATTGGGACGTCTTTGCAAGGGCATCGATTTCGATGAGTTTGTCGACTACCTCTTCGGCCTGTACTCCTCGGAGCCCACTTGTTGGGGATGGATCTGCAATAGCGGACAACGCTCCAGATTTTCAGTTTCGAAAACAGGCCCCGGATCCCTGAAACTCAGAACCAAGCAATCTGATGCGCTCTCGATAATCGGTGTGTGCAGTGCTGACATGTTGGTGCTTTCAGACCATCCAGAGGTATCCAACAGCTTGGCAGCAGCTAGTGGACCATGCGCAGCTACTTTCATGAAGTGGGGGTTGTGTCGACCCCTGTTCCTAGTCTGCAACTTGTCATTTGCAGTGTTTCTTGCTTGCTGCTACTGCTCCACTTGTCGTCGGTGCAACGCGCTACACTGGCGAGTGCAGACGTGACGACGACCATGATGCCTCTCGTGTTTTCTAAACCGTTGCGAAGACTCTTCTTGTTGCAAAGCCGATTCGAGTCGAGAGGATGGAGCGAAGCTGGACTGGCGAGGGGCATCAGAGGCAGTGGTGCTTCTGTTTTCTCGGTAGGCTCTGCACATGACACGGACAAGAGTTGTGCTGCTAGACCTTGACGACTGGAATGCTGTCATCCGCTCCCAGTGCACGAGATCAGAGAGAATGTAGTGACAAATCTACACCCAGTTGCAACGCATATGTCGCAGCGGCATCAACATGACGACAAGGGGAGTTCTACTTTTCACATCTCAAGTCTTCGTTCCTTCATGCACACATCGTTGCACTGCACTTGGCATACTACTGGCTGTGCTTGTCCTTGGGCAGCTGTGCCATCACCAGGTCATCCCTTGAAATTAGTTGCAGCGATCTTTCTTGCAGGTGTTCCATGTCATTGCCGGGGCCAGCAACAGGCAAGACTCCTCCGGCTTGCCTCTGACTGCAACTCATCCCGACGACCTGCAACCGAATCTTGCCCTTCCTCTACGCCTTCAATCCTCAACCTGAGTTGCATGCTGAAGGCATGACATGGTCCTTGAGTCTTGCTGCTAATACCCAGCACATGCCGTGCCAACACGTGCAGGGATTATATCACTTACCACGAGTACCTGGCACTCTGTCGTTCCCTGGCTGGCTGTGGCAGCCAAGTTGTACAACAGAGGGGTGAGTGTCGTAGGGCGTTTAGGATTTGGAGAGTTAAGGGTTTAAGGCCTTTCGAGGTCTTAGGGTCTAGGGTTTCTAGGGCTTCAGGTGTAGCGCCAAATAGATATTATCTGGGATCGTTTCGGGGCAAGGAATACGGATTTTGGGCATGTGCGTGGCCCTAAACTCTAAACTCTAAACCCTACACTGCAAGGGTTGTCCGAACAGACGACCAGACAAGGAGAACGCATGGAGCCACCCGGCCTCCCCCAACATGAATCTTAAGGCGACATTCGGGCTCTGGAAAGGCCACATCTTGAAGCCCTGACCTGCGTTTACCCCTTTAGCCGACGACCGTGAAACTTAGTGGAGTTCGTCAAACTCCCGCAACCCCCAAAACACAAAGCCTCCACACTGAGCCCCCCAAAATCCCCGGAGTCCCGAAATCCCGAGACCGAGGCCAGCTCGACATCTTGGACGATACCGGCTTTGGCATCACCGAGGCCATGGCGCTGCGGCCCGGACGGAGCGTAGTCCTCCCGGTACTGTCACGAAGAGATGCTACATTGCTGCTACGGATCTCCTTTCGGGTTCTCTGAGGTTTTTGAACCTTGCCTTTTCTTCCGTGAGGCTGTTTGTGTCGTGTTGGCGTGGAGTCGCTTGTCGAGTAGCTGAGAGTGGCAGCTTCCTTGCGCCCTTCGCTGCGCCCAGGTTCAAGGAATGCAAGGAGTCTAAGCGTGGAATGACTTTCGAGCGCTTTAAGCTCCTGGTCAAGAAGGTATCGAAGAAGCTGCATGGCTGAGATTTGAGGCTAGCGTGAGGTGTTGGATTGCCTTTGGCTGTTACCATTTAGTGACAGCTCTTGAAGAGCCAGCTTTGCCTTGCGTCTGTTAGCAGTTTGTATACGCATTAATTTGGTGGAATAACCTGGTAGTACTTACATCTGACGGGGCGCGTAGGACAGGAGAATCTCATAAATGGACATCTGATATGCCTGCGTGCACGTTCAGTTCTAGATGTTCCTTGCAGCGACTCTTCATTCAGTCGTGTGATCGCAGCCCTGATGATCCTGCGAATCAAGGAAAAATGTGCCTTTGCGAACAGTCGTCAACTGGATCGCTTCCTTCACGCCCGGGCGTGCGAACGAAGACATTGCAGATACCTGGACTGCCTGCCACAAGCAGTAAGTTGAAACAAGTCGCTTCGTTGCAGAGATGGGTTTGGCACCCGCCTGAGTTCTCTTCATGTTCTAACTTTCAATGCAGCTTTCTGAGTGCGGTAGTGGAGATAGTGCAGGATGTCCGTGTCAACAGCTGTGTCATGCCGTGTCTCACAGCATCGGAACGAGAAAGCAGCTAAGGACCATCCGCTCTGTCAGCATCCCAAATGCTGCCATCTAAGAGCTTGCCGAGCTTTGTACATATCTCGGCGACATTGCGCATGTCCGGCTGCTAATCAAGGCTCGATGCATGATGTATCCTACCCACAGGACCATGTAGCAAAACCAGGAGTTATGCCAGAGTGCAGTGCTGCACTAGATCAATTCTGTGATTTGCAAGCCTTCAGTCCGACAAGATACTAAGACTGGGCACCGCCTGTGCCCTTTTCATACAGTCGCCGCGGCCTTTCTAAAAGAAGGGGACAGCTCAAGAGCTTCCTGGGCCGCAAGGCAACTCTGCCTCTTCGTTTGGCAGAACATCGTGTCGGCCATGAACATGGCTGACGCGATGTGTACGTTTGACAGTGACTTCTTCTTGTCACGTGAGCTGGCCGATCAACTCGGCATGGCGCCATGCGAAGCATTGCATTCGCGTTTTGTTACCACAGCCAGAAGGCTGGAGCGATGTGTTGACTCGCAGTTGTAATGAGATTTGTTCATTGAATCATTTGCAAATATCTCCGGTACAAGTCGCTGCACATCAGTGGAGGTTCCGAGCCGCGCAAGCGTAACAGTTTATGGGTCTCGCTCCCTGACGACTGTCCATAACCATCCATTATCCAGAATGAAACAGCAGCAGCAGCCGCTTCAGAAGCACAGCAACCTTAAGCTACTGCAAAAGCGAATGACTTGCCGTGTTTTGTGCAACAAGAGAAGGGACTGGGCTTGCCAGGCTTGCTGAAGCCCTTCACATCTGAACACCGCTTTCAGTTTGGTCGCCCATCCTCGTAGCAGGCAGAGTAGTGTGATGACGACATCAAGTTTGAATGCATGGTCCTGTTTCTGCTGCTTCCTCCTGCCGCTACCGGTGTCTGACTACCTACAACGCCTCATTATGACGCCGGCAACGACAGCAACAACATCAGCTTCCAGAACTACCACCACTGCCAGCGTGACTGCCACTGCCACTAGCACTACCGCTACCACGACTACTACTTTTCCTACTGCTACTACGACGACGACTACGATGACGACGACCCCGCCACCTAGCAACTACGCTGGTCAAATCAGGGTTCTGGAAGCTCGAGAGCTCGAGCTTGCAAAGTCGACAAGTGGATATTTGAGGCAACAAACAGTTGTCCGACATGTACTGTAAATACCGGGTAAAATGCAGGTGCGTGCAAGTGTGTCGTCATGAATCTCAGCCCCCCGAACCCCTCCAAAAACCGAAGAATTTTGAGACGCCAAGAAGTGGGAGGACATAATGAAAGTCCCACAAATGCAAGCGGATGTGCGCGTTCAAGATGTTTTAGAGCAAGTGTAGTTGGTGCCTACGATTAAGACCGCGACCCTGACTACTACCGCGGCCGCGAAAACCAAGCAGCAGCATCAGGATGAGCAACAGCAGCCGCAGCTTCTGCAGCAACTGCGCATGTCAAGGCGGCTTCATGTGTTTTTCGACGGAAGGGTTGAGGGAAGGGTGGCGGACACATGCAGCAAACATCCATTCTTAGGAGCTCCCAATTGGCTCCGCGCCACCCCGAGCAGCGTTATCGGAGTCATCGGCACATCCAAGCTAAGTGCCTCCATCGGAGCTTGACTTCTGAGCCTGTAAAGCCCGAATGGCATCAACACGGCAGTACCGTTAGGGATCATTCTGGCAGAGATTGCCAGCTGACACTTTGTGCGGATTCGTGATTGGACAGTGACAAAGAGTGACCATCTCGTGCCTGCATCTAGAGGGCACTATTTCTTGCCTTTTCTTCTGCTCGTGGCTCCTTAAATTGTGTGCTACCTGCAACAGAAATGGGACCAGACGAGGATGGGTGACAGTGGCATGCATGAGCTCAGAGGCTTACAATGCCTCGGGCCAGACATCTTCGCCCGAGGACTTCGGAGTTCCCGGTGAAAAGGTGTTCTGCTGCCTGCCATGACGAGCACCCGTCGTGCTTCCCCGACATAGCAAGCCTTCTCTGATAGAGCTGTCATGTGATAGTCCTGAAAGCGGAGTTGGCCCAGGATGAGGTTTGGGTCATCTACAAGCCGCCCCTGTGGCAGATGGGGGGCTCACCGGTACCTGACGGCGCGTATTTCGGCTCCATAAACTCCTGGCTCCCTGACCGAACTCCAGACCCCCCGTTTAGACCATGCTCAGGGTGAGGTTTGTAGCCGCGGGTGAAAGGGTGAGAGGCATTAAATGGTCAACTTGAGTCAAACTGGATCAACACACTTTTCACGATGGCGATTTGACACAGAAGCCACAACCTGTGCAAGAGCTAGAGCATGCCAGGACACCTGGAATCCACAGTTGAGGAAAGAGTTCCTCCCATGCCGCTCACCGGCTCTTGAGATCGGACTGTGTTGGGACTCGATAATGCTATTGCCGATTTCGTAGATGACTCCTGGGATTATCTTACCTGAGCTTCCGCTCCTCATCCCCCTTTTTCCGAAGGGCGCTTGCATTCGTTCCATTTCTGTCCTGTGCAGAATAATTGCAACACAGTGCTGTTGGTTGTCTTTCGTATTGCAAGAGCATGGTTGCGTCTCATCTCCACTCCACGCCAGTAATCTTTCGGTTTTGGCTTCGCGAAGGTTTTTGTGTCACAGTCGCAAGCGTTGGTGCCGGCCATACCTGTAACTTCTCTGAAGCCAGGCCAAGCTAGGCCCAAGCGACGGTCCAAGTGTGTTGAGGAAATACAACCATTGTTCGTGCTTTGCTCACTGTACACGTAGCAGCTTTGCCTTTGCAGCAGTTCTGCGGTGTCTAAACTTGCGTTCGCCTCAGAATGTTGTATTGCAGTTGAGCACGAGAAATAGCCATGCAGCTCGAGGATGACGTATGAGCCAGTTCGCAGTGATGTCGCATCCATGTCAGTGTCCCAGGCAAAACGAAGCAGGAAGCATTGCAAAAGATTTGGCATCTCTGCCCGGATTATGGATTGTGGACTGCCCCACGATAAATGCTCGTCCGTGCCACACCTGTATGTCGACGAGGGCCTTGCGCCATTCATTGCCAGGTTGAACTTGTCGTCACGCAGCAGTCGCTTAGAAAAGCAGCATGTGTGTGTAGCCTGTGTCTTCCTAGACGACTCAGTCTGCGTGCCTTGCAACTTGCGGTCAACTCAGCCCGGTACGTGCTTGCCAGGGAACACAAGAAAAGCTGCTTACAGGAGGGGACATCGTGGTTGAGGGCAATTGGTTTGCCTTGCTGGTTTCACTTCGGTCGTTGAAGAGCCTTGCAGTTGCACTATGCCTAGTTGAAGAGCTTCATTCGACGGAGCGCGCATGGAGTCGTCTTTCTGCCTCCCAGCCCAATGCAGATGTGGCACGGACTGGCCTGTGGCACCCAATGGGTGTCTCGGCATGCCAGATGGATGAAGACTTCCTACTTCAATGCGAGGCCAAACTCAGAAGCAGTTAAACCCTCCCGCCAAATGGACGTCTTGAGCTCTCAGTGAAGCTTCGCCGAAATCCGAGGGAGCCATATCAACGGGGCACCTTGAAATGGTTCAGGGCGCACCCGAAACCCACTGTGAAGCCCAAGCCCGACCTGCCAAATCGCAACAATGATATCCCGGCAAGGCCAACCCCTGAGTATAGCCAATTATAGTAATTAGACCGGTGTGGACTTGGGTGCAACGGGCTCGTCGAAGCTTTTTGTGACGAGCTGAGCCCTCGACCCAGGTCGGAGAAGATGATGGCAAAATCGACCCACAGGCCCGGCAGATCAAAGAGCGCCGTGCCCAGACCAGAGTAGAGCCCAGTCTCGCAGATGTCTCCAGCTCACCATGCGACACGAGCCACTGGAGTGGACACGTCATGTCGGCTGTGACAGAAGCCTCCAAAGACAAGTCTGAACTTCCCAGGGCTGCACAACTGCATAACCGTTACTTCACAACTTGAATCCTGCTTCCATTTCATGCCCAGAGGATCTGCTGATACTCGGATTTCGAGGTCTCTCCGAAGGCATCTAGCGAGTCGATACGAAACTTGAGAAATCTCAAAGTTCCTTCCAGTCTTGCACAGCGGATGAAGTCCAAACCTCTTCCACCTACCTTTTCAGCAGCTGAGCTGCCCAGTTGGGGATTTATCCAGCGCTTGGACCTTGAGACAGATGGGCCCATGTCTCAGCTTTGGGGCTGGAGAGTGGCTCATCAAATGTTTTTTTATGTGTTGCGAACTACGGTTCACGCGCGTCCACTTGCACCCAATTCGACGATCGCAACCATGATGCTCTTGATGAGAGGGGAACTGCCGTTGTTTCTACGCAGGTAGCAGATTATTGTTGGGAAAACTCGAGACGGATTCAGTTCGAGCGAAGCCCTCGCGCCAGGCCAGTCATCGTTGCCAAGACGTGGAGGGCGCAACGATTCCTGCAGGCAGTCATACAATGTCCAGTGTTTTCCGGGCTTGGGTTTGCATTTAGGGATCCAGATGCTAGGTGCAGGACCTGCAGCAGTCATGGCTCAAGGGTAAAGGGTTGAATTGCTCTCTCTGGCGCTGCCAACTGCGACCCTGGATGTTTAGATGGTTCTCGTCACCTTCCTGTATTGGAGATGATGGCATCACACCAAAAGAGTTGTCGAACCAACTGTTGAAAGCAGCCAAAGCACACGGCGATGTTGCAGCAGATCTATCGGCTGTTCCAGCCATTGCAGCCGGTGTCGTGCAGAGCGCAGGCAAAATGAGCCCAACCAACTTGGCGAATGGCCTGTGGGCAACAGCCAAACTGCAAGCCGTGGCACCGGAGGTCTTGGCAGCTGCAGGAGCTATAGCAAAGCACATACCCAAGAAGGTAAACCGTATGCAGCCGCGGGAGCTTTCAAACTGCTTGTGGGCAGTGGCGAAATTACATGACGAGTCCACCATGGTCTTGGCTGCTGTGCCTGCTCTTGCAGCACGTATTGCGTGCAGAGCAGAGGCAATGAGTGCTTCCCACCTGGTGACTTGCCTGTGGGCCTCCGTTACGGTGCAAGAGGCGGCACCGGCGGTCTTGACGGCTGCGCCGGTCCTTTCCGAGAACATCGCTCTCAAGGTAGGGAGCCTGACCACCCTAGAGATTACGAAAGTGTTTTGGTCTCTGGCAAAGTTGGTGGGAACGACAGATGTTCTTTCTACTAGTGTCCGGCGACTTGCAGCCGCTATAGCACAGACAGCGGACAGCATGCAAGGTTACCACTTGTCGAATTGTTTGTGGGCGGCAGCGCAGCTTCAAGCGGTGACACCCGAGGTCTTGACAGCTTCGGTAGCCATGGCAAAGAACATACCGAGTCAGCTGGATGACATGCACCCTCAGGAACTGTCAAACTGTTTGTGGGCCATCGCGAACTTGTACGGTTCAGATGCGATGGTCTTGACTGCCGTGCCGGCCCTTGCGAACAACATAGCGCAGAAGGCTGAAAGCATGAGTCCTGCACAGTTATCTAGTTGCCTTTCGTCAGCCGTAAGTCTGCAAACCGAGGCACCGTCAGTCTTGGTACTTGTGGCAGCTATTGTAAAGATCATCGATGAGAAGGTTCCTGGAATGTGCCCAGCAGAGCTGTCAAACTGTTTCTGGGCCATGACGAGATTGGAGGGCTTGGCGGTTTCGGTTTCGATAGCTGTCCCCGTGCTTGCAGCAGCCATAGTGAAAACAGTCGGCAGCATGTGTCCTTTCCATCTGGCGAACTGTTTCTGGGCTACGGCACAGCTACACTTCGCAGCGCCAGAGGCCTTGGCAGTTGGCGCAGCCATTGCTCAGTGCATACCGAACATCGTGGATCGCATGTGTGAGCAAGAAGTGTCGAACTGTCTCTGGGCTGCCGCTCATCTGTTCGAAGTGGATGCAACGGTTCTGACAGCTGTGCCTGCTCTTGCAACATCTGCTGAACTCATGGCCGCGACCATGGAGCCTGCTTACTTAGTGAATTCTCTTTGGGCTGCAGCGGTACTGCACGAGTCAGCACCGTTGGTCGTGAAAGCTGTGGCGGCAACTGCAGAGAGGATCTCATGCAATGTCCAGGATCTGACACTTCAGCAGTTGTTGGTCTGCTTTTGGGCAGCGGCCCAGCTGCAAGATGTGGAACCGCAGATACTCAATGCCGTACCAGACCTTGCAGTCCGCCTGCTCTCTCAAACTGGTGCCATGGAAGCGTCGTGGTTGCAGGCTTGTCTCGATGACGCGACCCATCTGCTGGAGCATGACTTGGAAACCGAACTGATTGCAGAGCTTGCTCGACGCCAAGGCTGAGCAGCACAGATGCCAAGACAAAGAAGACTCTCCGGGGGATCTGAGGGGTTCTTACCTATTCTCTAATTCGATCCAGGGCAGTAGCGAAGACCGCTGAAATCCATCGCGTGGACACTTCGTCAGTTCTGTAACCCAGAGAAGGAACCCGATAAGCTAAGATTCAGTGACCATACCGGCCCATGCCGATGTTGCAATGCCATGGGTGTGCACAATGCACTGGCAGACCCAAGATGCGTGCCTTCACATTCAGCAGAGGGTAGCGGGCAGAGGAAGCTGCAGTTCAACTCAACTGTCTTGCTGCCAATCTCTGTTCCTTTGGTTGGACCATAGCAACTCTCAGTGTCAAAGTGTCGGTTTTGACGAATGTGCTGCTGCTGCTGCTGTGACGGCTGTTCGCTGAGATCAGGTTCAGCTGAAGGAGCACATCTTCAGCAAGGCAGGTGGTCCATGTCTGGAGCCACAGGTCCTTAGATCGATCAATGCGGATACGCAGAGATGTGAACTGCTCTGTGTCAGTGGCATCCGTGCTTGCGCTATGGCGGATCTGAGATGAGAAACGGCAGGCCTATATCTGCCTCGTCCACGGAAAGGTCGAGAACCGAACTCAGTACGTAGAGCTGGAAGCTCGGCAATTTCCACTGCATATCTGCGGTTTTGGTGGCAAGACTCGCTTCCTCTGTTTGTTGATACACCGACACTGCTCTTGCTCCTCTGCCTACTGCCGGTGCAGACGCGAAAGACTTATAGGAGCATTGCTGCTGTCAGTGCTCCGCTTATCGTGGTTGTCGCTACTTTCCTTACTACGTGTGAGAGCTTGATTGATGCTGCTGTTACTCCTGCTTTTAGATGGCTGCGCTACCCTCACGTCACAACAACAACAACAACTACAACTACTACTACTACTACTACTACTACTACTACTACTACTACTACTACTACTACTACGAGTACCGCCACCACCACCCTCAACACCGCTGCCGCGACCACTACCACTACCTCTACCTCTACCACGACGACGACGACGAGCACTACTAGCCATCCCCGGCTCCCAACCATGCTCGCCAAATCCGGCGAGGGCTGGGGCAGCTTCTAGGCTCTCTAACCGTGACATCGGCGGTAGGGGCCGAGGGCTCCCTATCTATGACAGCGGCAGAAGTTGCAGAAGCGCATTTTCCTTGAGCTGGAGTCGGAAAGGCTCAGGCCCCAAAACTGCGAGAGCAGCTGGCGTGCAAATTCGAGAGGGAAGAATCTGTTAAGCCAAGCGCGGTGGGATAGCACGAAAACGCAGCAAAGTCCGTGCAGTTGCCAACAAGGTTTTGACACCCTTAGCAATTGAAGCCGAGAGTCACCAAAGATAGCAATCAAAATGCCAGCTTTTCGTGGCCGCTGTTCGCCAACAGCCTAAAGCCCAGAACTCGACGTAGGAGGGTTCACTTTTCGAACTAGCATCCCAAGCGCGAGTCGAGTTTGCAACGTCCAACAAGTAAATTTTGCGGCAAGAAAGGTGGTAGGAACGTAGGACAGTATTGTAAAAGCCAGGCAAAACTGATGTGTTGCTAAGAAGGTGTATAGAACGTGTAGTTGGCATGGATGTGTGCCTACTACTGACTATCAGATTATCACTTCTATATCACAACAGTAACAACAACAGCAACAACAACAACCGCCACTACTACGAGTACGAGTGCGAGTTCGAGTCCGTCTGCAGCTTCGACTGTGACCGCAACTGGGACCACTTCGACCGCGACTGTGACTGCGAAAGGACGACGACGGCGACGACCGCAACGACGACAGCTACTACTGCTATGACGACGACGACAATCTACAGTGCCGTCACCGCTACGAATACGACTACCCGTCTGAGCTTGCAGGGCCAAGTTTGCAGAGCTTGGTGGTGGAAGAGAATCGGCAGTGCCTTGCCTCAGATTCCGGCCTCGTCACAGCAGCTCTTCCCTGACATGACGTTTTGGACCTGCAAGTGTGCGTGGCCCGTGTTTTTAAGACCCAGAAGACGCCTTAAACCACAGAGACAATAGCTTCTAGGCACCACAGCCCACCACACCCAGTGCTGTGCATGACAAGCCATTTGCCTGCCCAGATCATGGTGAAACACGACAAAGTTCACGATCCCTTCTTCACCAAGCGACCTGGGCTGCACCGTAGAACGGAGCATGACATTGCCGGTTTCGGTTGTCTTGGCATGCGCCGTTCAATCATCAGGCAGCAGCAAGGCTGGTGGAAAGGCCGAGACGTGAGGATGGCCAAGACCTTCTTCAAGCCCCTTGCGTGCGCTGTTTGCAGCGGAGGGGGACGATCACTGGGGAGCATGAGCATAGCATGGACAGTTTGCCGGAGAAGAGGTACTACCGAAAAGAGTCCGACGGTTCGGAGTATTCTTTGGTGCCGCTGGCATGTTGTTTAGCTGAAGGTTCTGCAGCCTTAAGCAGGGACAAAGTCAGCTTTGCTTGCGAAGATGAGTGAAGGAAGTCACTACGTTGCAGCATTTTAGTTTGAAGCAGCCGTCTGGACGTGCTATCAACGTGAAGCTGAGCAGGTAGCTGGGACATCAAAGATTTTCGATCAAGTTGGAGGCTTAAGCAGACAGAATGGAGATCGTTGCCTCCGTCTACAGGTCTACGTCAACATCCTCAGCGGAATCACCCATCAGGCAGCCCGAGTGCGTATGTGGCAAGTCTTGGAGCAATTGACTCCATGGATTTCTTGCTCAGTGAGTCAGTGCTCCCGAGAATGTACTGTCGAACAGCATCCATGCTCACAGCTGTTCGCTGGTCGCCTCGGACGCAGGTCCGCATCACGATGAGAAGTGTTGGGCATCCCTTGGTCTCCGATGACCGCTACCTTCCAACGAACGTTGCGCCTCGACTCGAGCCGCGTGTGTCGACCGCGAAAGCTGCCGCGAGCCAGCGCACAAGCGCTTCTTCGTGCCTGCTGAAGTTGCGAGCATTAGACAGATGGAGCATTAGATGAGCCTCGCAGTGATACAAGGCCGTAGAAGATGCCGACTGGTGCCCCAGAAACTTCCTGGTGGAAGTGCGATCGGACTGGTTCGACATGTCAGCCTGCCCTGTTTCATCGCCTCAGCATGACCGCACTGGTGCCAAAGGTAAGTTGCAGGGATGCCTGGTAAGGAAGCAGCAATGTCAGGTGTGGGCCGTATCCAGACCGGAAGCGAAGGGCATTCACCAGGAGCCAATGGGACAAGCTGCTTGCAAGGGCGAAATCAAAGATTTTCGGAAGGGGAAGGGTAGAGAAGCTGAATTGCAGACAGCTGTCCTCGCTTTCCTCACCGCTGGACTGGCCCACACATGTGCCGTGAGAGGATCTCCGTAGAGAACCCTCTGCCAAAGCTTTTCCAAGATGTCTTGGAAAAGAAGCTGGGAACCTAAAGAGCCAGCACTGTTCCTTGTCAAAGAGCGCAGCAGGCATTAGACCAGTTGTGTGGCTGAGGCTGAAGCTCACGGAGAAGCTGGACGCCGAAGCGGACCTTTTCTTGGGCTGCAAGTGACCATGCCCTTATGGGGATGGGATGGGGGTGTCAATCACAAGATGCCCCCAGATCAATATGGGGTTGAAGCTGTCGTAGTCGAGTTCGATGATAAGTTGAAGCAGTTGAATGCCATGGGTTTTCTGCCCACGGTTGGAAGCTAAAGCGGCTTCGGCTTCAGTATACTGCTCCTTTTGTCAGTTAGGCGTTAGGCCGTTGCCAGTAAGTCTCAGTATGACTGATTTAGGATTCGCCAGTTTCACGTGCAGTAGATGTGCCAAGATTTCTGGGGCCTTCTGCGAGTCGAAAGCAATTCCAAGTTGGTCAGTTGAAGCAGCCACTCTTGTCTTCCTTCGTGCAAACAGGTACTGGGCATTGGGTGACGAGATGCTTATGGCAGACTTCCCCAAGGAATGACTCTTGCTGACTGAGGCTTTGAACATCCTTTATCCCAAGGACAAAGAAAAGGGTTGGACAAGTGTTGCTGAGCTTTCGGGGTTTTTGAAGGTCGAGCTGCAGTGTTTTGTAGTTGCAATCTGACGCAGGATGCCGAGTATCGCAAGAAGGTGCGCACCGCTCATCGCATTCATCCTGTCGTGTAGGCAACCTCAGGCCTGATGAGGCTTCTGTGATGCGCACCCCTTGGACATGTCAGATTTCATTTAGTCTAGACTAGTCACGTCTAGTCTAATCTAGTCCTGTAACGTCTGCAGCTCGGGACTCCGGTATACTCCGATTGGTATTCTGCAGGTCATGCGTTGGGGCATTCGTCGAAAAATTCATCTTGATGCTCTCGATCGGATGCTCCTTCTCAGCCGCGAGGACACCTTGCCGCGCCCTTGCTGTGATTTGCTGTGCGTTCAGGAGCTATTGCACAGAAGATGTTTCATGCTCCATCGGAAAGCTGAACTTCTGAACTCCTTCTCATAGATGCGAAAGCCATTCCCCTCAGCCTGCCACCTGTATCAGCGGTCACGGCAGCACGCCGCTCACTGCGTCGGCAATGAACCGGTGAAACTGACTTCGCCCCCTTCGCTCATATCGCCTAGCGGAATCCTGGAAGGAGATCGACCGCATCATGACGGAGTACAAGCCCCCAGCGGAAGACGAGGTGATCGAAATTCGCAGTCAAAAAGTGCAGCGGATCGGTGAAGATTCAGGATGCGGTTCTCCGGCGTTCTGGCATGCATGCTGTAATATAGTGCTTGAACAGGCAATCTGGGTGTGCCCCCTCTGCATGAGCTTGAACCAGCCTCGTTCTCAGTTCCTCTTGCTTGAACTTTCATGAAAGTCTCTCAAAAAATGTCCATGTCAGCCGAGGAAGGACAACTGGAACGACGGGTACCATTGCAAGGGCTATGTTGGGCATTCCTGGCTTCTTTGACTCGATGTAGCCTCAGTGGTGTCCGGGATGCAGGATACATTTCTATTCCGGTCCAGTATGGCCTATTTGCAACCTGTACGGCTGAATTGAGGACAGTCTTTGCAATTGTTTCCGCGCTTTAATCCCGGGTCTCGGAAACAGCCGCTGTCAAATGTGCCGGGCCGAACATGGTGGCATCTACATGATCGCATCAAAAGAGGCCGTGACTGGGTACGTAAAAGATAATGTTTCGAAGATGTACGCCGAGCCGAGGCCACGTGACTTTGTCCAATTGAGTCGGATTGTGCGGATCCAGATTGCTAGATGTTAAACGGGTTACCCGCCTGACACCCCGAAACCCAGAACCCCAGCCATTCCAAGAGTGCAGTGTGCAGTCCTCCGGCACTTTTGCTTCCAGAAGGTTAAGCATATCTTCGAGGATGCGGCAGCATCTGTTGCGGAGATGACAGCGCATCCAACAGTGTTGTGACAGGCAGAGTTGTCATGGCACGTTGAAGATGTCCGAGGACAGTGGGATGTTTCTTGACTGGCCTACCCACTTTGATCCTGACACGAGGCACTCTCTTGGCGGCATTCTTGCGGTCTGTATGTTAGCACAGCACAGATAAGATTTCGGCTTAGAGCTATGTTTCGGCTGCAGTGTGGCAGCAGGGTTCCGTGCTTCGGGCTCAAGCTTATCATTCAGGATTCGACTCATGAGCTTCCCGATTGCCTATGAACTCGAGTCGTCGCAGCTTCATAGTGCAAGAGCTTGCCACAGGACACAAAGCTGCCTCATGGGTTAGGCCCTCAAGCGACCTTGCATGCAGCTTTTGCTTTTTCTGGGTCAGTGCTGCTCTCCTACAATGGTCATGATCAACGTCTCTTCTGTTACTTCAGGAGGAGGTCTGTCTTGCGCGGGAAGCAGGGAAGTAGTATGCGTCGAGGTCAGACTGCTGGGAGGGTTTGTGCTTGGTGCTAACTTGGTGTGCTTGGAGCTCCTCGTCTAGGCGCGAATGCGCATGGTCCATGCTGGTCCATGCAATGCCCGTGTGGTTTCACAAGATAAAAACACTGTGGCATATGTTTTCTGACTGTAGACCACCATAATAGTCTCAGCAAGTAAGAAACGGCGGCGTCTGTGTGAGAGCTATTGGGCTTCCCGAGGTGGAGGGACTACCTCGCCGACCCGACTTTGCACATGCTGAAGAAGGTGAACCTGGCCTGGCTGGAGGCCAGGCCTCAGCGAGCCTTTAACTGCTACTAGTTACTTTCGTTGTCGATGCTGTTGCTTTTGACGTGTTGACGTTAGTTTTATCAATTGCGACCTCTTGCCCTCAACAGGTGTTGGTCTAGTCTTTGAGTCGGTGAAGAACGCATGAACAACAAGACTGACAGCCGTATGTATGTGACAGGTTAGCCGATCAGTAAGGAATCACGTGTCACATGGTTCATATACACTGAGCTTAAACATATGCGGATGAGAACATATGCTCGGAGTGCACGACTCCAAATGGGCTTAGGGCTTGGGCTGAGCTTCAAACTGGAAGCTCGGAAGAAAGCTGCAAGCTACGCGAGGCGTCAGAACCTCATGTCTTGCTTCTTCCGTGGCAATGTCGATGAGCGAAAATTGTGTTCAGAAACTGATGATGATGATGACTGTGATACGACGATGATGATGTTGGCTATGGTGAGGATGGTGGTGAACATGGCACTAGCTTTGACGACAACGATAGTGGTTAATAGGAGCATGTATTTAAATGTGCAGATGTCGTTCTTTGGTGCTGATGCTGTTGCTGATGTTGCGGCATTGCCGTTGCTCCTGCTGCTGCTGCGGCAGCGGTGGTGGTGGTGGTGGTGGTGGTTGTGGTTGCGGTTGTCGCCCGTCGCCCTCGGTCGTGGCAGTCGTCGTGGGTTTCGTGTCGGCGTTGTTGTCGTTGTCGTGCATGATGTGGCTGGTTGACATCGAAAACGTGGATGATGATGGTGATGTCATGACGACGACGATGATGACGATGTTGATGATGAGGATGATGATGCCTGTCTGTGCGTGGATAAAGATGGCTGGGGTTACTTCCACACGCGGCCTGCAGCAAGCACAACCTCGTGACAGCATAACTGCTGCTGCAGATTGATACTCCTGAAATCGAAGACTGAAGCCCCTAACCAGATTTCTTTGAAGCATCGTGGCCTCCTGAGCTGGCCCTTCGCTTCACAGGCCCGCAAGCACGCCCATCCCTCAGTCGCCTTGGTCTGGATCAACATTTTCCTCGTTTTGGTGTCGGGGCAACCGCGTTCAGAGAGCAAAGCCGAGCTGTCCATGCCTCTCGCGCTCGTGCTTGGTCTTGGCAGCATCGAGAAAGGAAAAAGCTTGAGACTGATGCATTGAAATGCAGTACGTCACTGCCATGCAGGAAGCTTTGACATGATGGTGACATCATTCGCGCGTAGCACACCGCTTAAGGCAATCCAGAAGCGGCGTGCTGTTTGGTCCAAACCCCCCGAGGAGGCCCTGGACTTGAGCATTTGGAAACAAAGTTCACAACAAAAACAGTGTTTTGATTGCGGTTGGGGTCTAAGTCCGGCATTTAGGAGTTGTCAGGCTAGGCTTGAAGAGACGATGGATACCAACGGATTATGGGTTCCGCACAAGTCCTTGGAGAAATGTGGATGTCGGAAGTTTCGAATGTTTAGGTACGGTTTAGAAGCTGTGGCTTCAAAGTGGCTGCCGCTTGCGGGCACAGTTGGAAAGAGATGAGCAAACCATTGCATCGGACACGTGATGCCGACTGCTCCGGGGGTTCAGGGGCTGCGAGATTCAGAGCCAGCACCTTCATGCACAGTTTGCTGCCAGCAGCAGGATCAACGGGCACTGCATCGAAGACTCTAGCCACAGTTTCTGGCACCTCCAACATATTATGTTCAGCACTACGGCCGCAAAACCAAGGACCGGCAGAAACTTGAATAGAGCTCGTTGTCCGCATACTGTGCCCTGGTGACCTCGCACTGTTTTTCCTCCCGTCCTGTGCAGTCAGTCGGATGTTCGGATTGAACTCGGGGCCGTGCAGTGTTTCGATCCTCTCCAAAGCCTCTGCTCCCTACAAGAGCAATTTGGGGCCTGCTCTGCCGCGGCAGGAAGACGGAGAAGAACCCAGTCGCGAGCTAATTGAAAAGCTTCATGCAGGGCGCCCAACACCGGTTGCTGGCGAGGGGGTTGCTTTTGTCTCGCATGATGGTCGCGGGGTCCGGTTGGTTTGGTGCTTATAATTATGAGGCCTGGCTTCTGAGGTGGATCGATCGAATGTCGGGTGTGCCTAAACCCGTCCTCAGGAGGTGCTCTACAAGGATGCTGAATCTGGCGGCTATGGAATCGAGCAGAAGGACCATAATATGAACACGTGACTGGGGTGACAACTCAGGTAATCAGGCGGAGCTACCGTATGTTGGGCTGCGGATTTCTCTTGCGTTGGTGTTCCTGGGTGGATGACATTTGGAGTTCATTCCTGACCTGGTTGCGTCTCGTCAGTACTTGAAACCTGGATGCAATGCAATCTTGGTGGCTCCAGGACCTTGCGCAGAAGGACTTGCCGGCCTAGTTGAGATTATCAGCAGACTTGTTTGGCCGTGAGCTGCATGGCAAGGGTGTACTTGGCGACAGATGAAGGTTTCCCAGTGACCGTGGCAACATGTAGCAGTTTCGGAAGGGCGAGAAGCACGTCTGAAGAGTTGCGCAAAGTTGGGATCGGAGCCGATCATGACCACTCTCAGAAGTGGTGGCATGATGCCTCAAACCAGAGCATCATCTTCGAACGAACACTTCGCGTGGCCGCGGCAGGTGAAGGGTTTCGAGACGCTCCGAATGCCCGTGAAGCTGCCGAAGGAGCTCAATCCGTTTATTTTGCAACTGTTGGATCCGTCATAGCAAGAGTACCAGGCAAGCCGCCGAGAGAACCGCAGGACTGTGAGGTTCGAAGAGTGCGGCTGCCTGGGCCGGGCTCTCGTTGTTGGCCCGTCTGTACCAGGGATCGACGTTCCAGTGCTGGATGGTAGATTTGTGTTTTTCTTTTCTGAGTTTGGCATCAGAAAGGGAGTCCACATGATGGAGCAGAAAATGGATGCGCTGGGTGCTGATTGGAACAGTGTGCGTTCTCTGCATGTACTTGTAACTGGTGAAATCTCCAAAGTGCATCGCGTGTTGGATGCTCTTCTCGGCTGCCCGTTTGCATTCTGGCTTGTTCTGGCACCGCTCAGTAGTACCTGCTCTTTTGCATGTGGAAGCATATCCTCGCTTTAGTAGGTTTTTGGTCGCGAGGGGTGCGGGTGACCATGACACTGGAGTACGACCTCAGAGCGATGATAGTGTCCCTTGCGTGTTTAGACCGAACTTTGTGCACTGGCAGAGTAAGACGAGCTTCACTGCTAGGATGCCTGTGCTCTGTCCCATTAGGCGTGGCATCGGCTCGGCGTGGACATACACACTGTCGGGCAAGGAGCGCTACCGATGTTCTGCGAAGATGGCCCCCGCAAAGAACAAGTCTCGGCAGTACGGGGGCTAGTCTCCGTGGCCATGATCGTCGTCTTTGGCCGATCGTGAATATGTGAAGGACATGTGCTCAACAACTGTGAGTAGACGACAAAATTATCAGAAGATGTGTCCGACCAAGACTACAAGTAGGTGGTGTCGGGAAAAGCTTTCGTCATTTGAAAGGCGTCGAAGTCTCAAAGTCACCAAACTCAAGCCTTTGTTTGTTACTTGTCTTGCTGCATAGCACAGTGTGCCCTACAAACTAGTTCCATGGTGTTTTAAACTTGCTGCCAGCTGGTGGCACAAGGCAACCATGGGTAAGCGTTCTGAGCCTAATTCTACGTAATTCTAGAATGGTGTCTTCGACCTGACCCAGCAACACCGGTCCCTTGAATAGATGTTGCCTGCATGACCGACAGGCATTCAGGGCCTTCCCACCGGACTGAAAATTGAGCATACCACGTGGTGACTTTCAAAGTTCTGTAGAGTCAGGAGGTCTTCTAGAAGTATTTCACACATGCCCGTAGCACCAAAAGCCGCCTTATGTAGTGCTTGCCCATCGCCGTGGTATCGTCAGGAACGGCTGAAGGCGGCCTCCAACTTTAGCTTCTCGGCAAGCTGTCATGTTCTGAATCACTGACGGCTCGGCGAAGACTGGCTTTCGTGTGCAGGTTCAGGCCATGGCATGAATCAGTCAGATCAGTCAGCAGATGTCGGAACAGTTTGTCCGTCGGCCTTTTGCGACCGATGTCGAACAGCTGCTGCCGTTGCCACATCAAAAAGCCTTAACCATGCATGTCTGTAAGAATTCCAGCGCCGGTTCCTGAATGACGGCTTCTTTTCCTCGCAAGAAGGCTGCGGTTTCTGAGCCTGTGCCCTATCGAGACCTCGACTGCAGGACGCGCCTCATTGCGATCCGAGCCAGCAAGAGCAAATGGCAGAAGGTGTTGCAACTCTCTGTGGCGTATGCGGAGGATGCCCACACTCTGCAGGCCATGCTAAGAGTCGAAACGGCGTCAGAGCTCAGAGAGCGGGACCGGGCCACCTGTGCTAGACTCCCAAGGTCGCCAGCTCGGCCGGCATTGCCTCCCTGGGGAAGTGCAGCCGCTGGCAGCCTGCGCTGGAGCTGCTCGCATTCTTGAAAACCTGCGAAATCCTTCCGAACGTCTTCACCTACTCTGCCGTTGCTTGTTTGACAGTGGTGTGGGCCCACTTAGAAGTTCTAGATTCTAGAATCGATCTTTTGGTTTCCAGAGTCTCGCAGCATCTGTCCAGGCAATCAACACGTGCGGACGTTTGGGCGGCTGGAGGAAAGCACGCGCCTTGCTTGGCGAGATGGACTCTTGGAATGTGCAGAGCAACATCATCACTTACAATGCAACCGTTTGCGCACATGACAGGACGGGGCGTGGTCGTAGTCAAAATCGACAACTGCGCGCTGATAGCATCGCGAACCGCAGGACGAGGGATTGGAGCCACGCAGAGGCCTTGCTCGAGCATCTCCAAAGACTCGCGCTGGAGGCGGAGGTTGCAGCTCCGGCTGACATGGGAGACTTGTTCACCTCGGTGGACGGCCTTTGAGGGTTCGTCGAAACTTACGCCGAAAATGACAAGCAAGCGAACTAACTAGTAGTTGTTTGCTGGCCTACCAGCATGTTGAACCTGCTGGTACAGTATGTCCCAATCGCCTGAGGTTACTTTCAACTCTGTCATGAACATGTGCGAGAAGAGCGGCATTTGGGAGCGTGTCACGATGCTGCTACACAGCTTATCTCAGTCGGTGAGAGCAAATGTGGTGACGCTGAACACTTCGATTTGTGCATGTAGGCATCGCGGTGCCTGGCAAGAGGCTTGGTCGTCGTTGTCTCGGGGCGAGTTGACGTCCGACCTCATCGGCTTCAATGCGGCCATCGATGGCAGCCGGCTCACAGGAACCTGGCGACAAGCCCAGGCATATGGGTCGTGGAAAAGCACGTTACGTGACATGCATTCCCCGAACGTATGGCCGAAGATGGCCTACAACTGCCAGCGATACTCTACTGTGCCTATGCACGGCACGCATATGATTACCGACGACCCCGCACACCAGTTGTAGCAATCACATGTTTCGGAGCCGTTCGCAGATCGCATAAGCAACGCTACCAGCCGCCGCCAGGTGCTGCTGCAAGCTCTCAGGCAGGAAGGCTTGCGAGGAGACGTGATCTCCTACAGCTCGATGGTCGGTGCCTTTGAAAAGACGGGGAACTGGGAAGGTTGCTGCCTCGTCCTGCAAACCATGCAGCTGGCACACCTGCCGTGCGACGCAACGATGCAGAATTCCATAATTAATGTCTTTCAAGAGAGAGGCCAAGGCCGATGGAGGCAGGCACAGCAGTTTTTGCGCCAGAGTGGTTTGGCCAATGTTCGTGCTGACGTGATTTCTTTCAATGGGCTGATTCAGGCTGCGCAACACCATACGCACTGGGCCACGTCGCAGCGCTTGCTAGGGCTACTTCCCAAGTGCACATTGACCACTGACGTGATTAGCTACAGTTCTGCCATACAGGCCTGTGGAGGATTGGAATGGGAGCAAGCCAGATCTTTGCTCGGTGAACTTGAGACCCAGCAGCTTCGTGCAGATGGAATGGTCTACAGCGCAGCTATGAGCGTACTTGCAGAGGTTGGTCAGTGGTTGATGGCGTTGCACACTCTGAATAAGCTAAAGAAGGGCAACATGGAGTACGACGTGGTTTGTTGCAACACCGTGCTAGCAGCCGGCGATCTGCCTGGAATGGAGGCCCGCAAGATGTTGAAGACCTTACAAGCTGAGAGGTTACAACCCAACATCAAAACTTACAACTACATGATCAGCATTTTCCTTCGAGCAGGGGACTGGCAGCAGTCCTTGTCACTGCTTCTGGAGATGCTGTCCAATGCAGTTCAACCAGATGGGATTACTCGCAGCTTCATTGCGGAGGCATGCATGGAAGCTTCAGACTGGGTGCAGGCCGTTGAGTCTTTGGATTTGGTCGCTGAGAGTAGTCAACATGACTTGGATCACCTGAGCTTGCAAGTGCCGCCTTCGCTGAGAAAGATGTCCGGCAGAGTACCTGCGCGCTTGCTTGCTTAGCTGCTATAGCTTAGCTCGATGCCAATATGCAGCCCGTTTGCCATGCACAGTGGCGTGGCGTAGAAATTTGGCCACCAACATCTAGCCTCCAGAGAATTCGAGAGTTCAATCCGCTATTTGTCCGTTTCATGAGTTTCTCGGAACCTGTGATCAGCCAAGGCTGCCATCCCAAGTTCCTGAAAAAGCCGGGCACTTGAGAGGTCAGACCTCGCGATAAGTTTCACAATTAACGAAGCTGAGGTGGACGTCGGCACCCTCCAAAGACATCCGCAGACATCGTGATGCAGATTGTAGGTTACGGTGGTGCTTAGACGTCGCCACGGTACTTCTTCCGGCGAACAATCTCCCCAATCAGTAGTCTGTAGGGCTTACAACAGTATGCAGCCAAGCGTGACAATGTGAAACCGTTGCCAAGGCCAATCCTCGTTGAAACTGACCGGGCCACTGCCTTTGCTCTGATACACTCATGCTGGCAGCGCGCATTGCGGATATTGCACCCAAGACGGGGTACCATGTAGACGCGTCATGCGTGGATTGCTGTTACTCAGTTTCCGCAGAAGAACGTCGCCCCCAAGGAAGAAGTTGAGGAGGCCCCACGGCACATGCAGTTGTTGGCAGAGTCGACATTAGCGTGCCACTAATTTTTCTCGCTGGCGAGTGTGCAGGTTGTTGAGGAGCCTTTGCCGGTGCCGCTGGAGTCCCGCAAGCACAAGAGCCTCTTGACGCTGCAAGGATGCTCCTCTTGCTGGTCCGTCGCACTTGATTTCTGCAGCTGCCGGACACCATGACATGGTCTTAAGTTTTGAGCAGGCAGGTCTCAACAAGATGAAGGATTTTAAGCCTGCCCATCACCAACATGTAACATGTGATGGAACACCCAAGATAGTGCTTCGAAGCGGTTGAGAAGTGTCGAGGTCTGATGAGTCTTCCACAAAGTACTTGCTTTAACTGTGCAGGGCAGGATTCCAGGGGTATCTCTAACTCTAAAATTTGAATCAACACCTGGAGCCGCTCTGCCGGCCTTCGGACGAGGATCGGAAGACAATGACTGGCAAGCAAGGCAGTGGGGCAGCGATGCCGAATCCAGGACAGCCTCTGCGATCCTTGGTTGCGCCTCTGCCTCCCGCAAAGCAGGAAGCGAAAAGACAGAAGCGAGGCACCGCGGCACTGCTTGAGTTTGAGCTCTTGCAGCCGGTCCGCACCACGAGCTTAGCTCCGACTGCCATGTTTGCTGATCCCCGACTGATGTGCTTCTGTTAAGGAGTCCTCTGACCTCACCAATCTCCGCGTCAGGCGCCAGAGGCCGCTACTGCCTACACGCCGCGAGAAGGACGACCTCGCAAATGGCAGAGGAGCGGGACGTGCCATTGCGTTTCATAATGGCACCAACCCATTAATACCGAAGCTTTTGCCAGAATGTTTGTGTCCAAGGCGTCGGAACGAACTACAATAAAGTGCAGGGCAGCATCGCCCAGATCGGCTCATGCTAGGCAAGCATTGCAGTCGTTCTGGGAAGAGAGCTTCCGTGCCAGGATTATGAGGAGCGATCGGACGGCCTACTACCTGGACGTAGACACCGGTGAGGTGCCAGCATAGCATGGGCTCCAAGTTTGGGGTCGACGAAATGCGGGCCCCTGCAGATGCAAGACAACATGCCGGCGGACTACCAGGCGCTCCGCTCTATGTCCTAATGCACTGATACAGCTTGGTGCGGTGAGCCTCAGTCATCCCTCGCATCCCGGCTTTTCTGAGAGGAGCAACCACCTGTTTGGGAGCGCGTCGTTTCCAGATCCAATTCAAGCCACTCGGAGGGCAAACCACACAGTGTGAAGCTTCCACAAAGTTGCATGCGACATGCACTCTCTTGTTGTGACTGCGCGAGATCATGTCTACTACCACAACACAGACACAGGCCTGGACTGCGCTGGTTCTCAAGTTAGCCTGGCACACGGCGAGCTCGCCACCCTTCTTGGCTGCAGGGGAGACACGCGTCGAACGTCCCGAGGGCGTCAAAATCAAGAATGATGCTGAGGCTCTTACGGTGCAGAAACCGATTTATCATCACAAGAGCTTCTTAGACTACAAGACTACAATAACTGCAAGTGATTATCTGCCAGAGGCAGCAACCTTTGTGGCAGTTCTTGCTGGTCTTGCCAAGCATCCGCAACCATGATCATCCCAAGCCCGAGCCAGGTGCGATCCGCAGCCGCCGCAGCCCCTGCCTCCAGGCCGGCCGAGAAGGACGGGCCCACGGGACACACCTTTGCCAAAGCAGCGGTGGTCACATCAGCGAGGTATTACAGTAGTTGAGCTGGACAGCGAACTGCCCTGAAGGACGAAGAAGGCATTCCATGGGAACGTCACGAGGCAAAGTCCTGCCGGCGCGAAACTTCAGCTGCTGCTTCGTTTGATGCCACATCTTGCCGGGATTCGCACAGAGTCTAGGATTCGACCGACTTGCCAGGTCGAAGCCAGGCTTCTTCTACTACTTCAACCCGCTGGACGGCACGCAGGAGGCCTGTGCGGCTCTCCCTCGTGAAGCAGTGTGGCCGCGGTTCCTTTCCGCACGGTTCGGTTCTTGCGTTTCCGGGTCTGGCGGTTCCGATGGTTCCATCAATATTTACTCGTATTGGTTTTATGTCGTCTCCAGTAGATTCTGTTAGTCACTGGTTCCGTGTTTCCGATGCTCGCTATGTTCATGTAGGCGTGGGTTCAGAGGCCCATTAGTCTCCCGAAATCCTACTTTGAGTAACTGCAGACTGCTTTCGTTTGGGGTTTAGACCTTCCCAGAGGGCCCCAGTAGTCCCTTCTCACACACATGCTCATATGCATGCTGGAATACAGCTATTTATAAGGCCCTTCCAGAGGACCCCGATATCCGCGATAGACCCTAACCAAGATGCTCTTGATGTTGCAATTTGGATGCTCCTGAATGTTGTTTTGAAGCATACAGCGGTTCAAGCTTTCCGGTCATGGTGGCATGGTTCTGGTCTGAAATCTCATTCTTTGGGGATTTCCAACGGCACAATGTGTCTTCTTCGCGGTGTGATGGGGTCAAACACCAAAGCCTGTACTCGTGTCGTCTTCGCAGAAGCGAATAGCAAGCGCACGTTGCGGGTGCAGGGCCAGGGACGCGGGGGAGTACAGTTTAAGCGCTTGAAAGTGCTGAAAGCTGTACTCCCCCCGTCCTACGGGGGTACACGTATTTCCAGCAGTTTGAGGAACGTGGGGCAGGTCTGAAAGTGCTGAAACTGAAAGCTGCACTACCCCGCGCGTCCCATGTAATGCAGGGGAAGCACAGGTGAGAACCAAAACAAAGGTGGCTGGGAAGCAGTGGCCGGGGAGGCACAGGTCGATGAAAGAACCCTTTTCGGGTTCGGTTTCCAGCTTCACGCGCGGTTCGGTTCCGGTGCGGTTCGGTCCTGTGCGGGTTCGGTTGTTGCATTCCGGTTCGGCGGTTCCGGTTCGGTTCTACGGACTTCCTGGTGAAGACACTAGTCACCAGGCCCGAATCTTGAAGATGCATGGATCCGTGCCTCCATTCTAAATCTGCTCAGGCCTATCCAAGCTTTGCAAGGTTTGAAACGCTCCGAACTGTTTCTGACGGGGTCTTGGAACTTTGCAGATCAAGCCGCCCGTCGTCAAAGCTCCGTGGCAGCTCCTGCGGTCCAAGTCGATGTCAGGCCGCAGCCGGGGAATCTGGAAGCTCGTCGAAGTCCTGCCATTTCACAGAAATCGCTCCACTGCCTCTGTTGACGACGAAGCCATGTGGAACTGCTTCACCGTCCTTGCATCCTCTCGGCACCGCAGCAGGCCAGTACTATTATTTCAACCAGGCCTGCCCGCTCGCTAGCATTCCGACGCAGGTCCTCAAAGAGTCTGCAAGCACAGGTGTGCTGCTACTCACGATTTATGGCCTCTTATAGCCTGTCGTCACAGACTACAAACTGAACCTGGGAGTGACGTGACTGCGAGCAGTCTCAGCGATGGGAGCATTCCACTAATTAATCGCCTTCGCGAAAGCTGCACGAAAACAACTTGTCCATCTGCGATCGTGAGCTTAACTTTAAATCGTGCCGAGGTTATTACATTGTCATCTGCTGTCAGATGATGCAAAAGCTAGTAAGCAGCTAGCAAGGCACATTGGCCTATATTGAGTCTTGTACTTGGGTTCCTCCTTACGAAGGTCCCCATTTGGGAGTGAAAGAAACCAAGACCAAAAGCCGGAAGTGCCTGGAAAGGTTACCGGCGAGAGCACAGAGATACCCCCACGGTGTGCCCTGCCTCAGAAGGCACGGTGCAGTATGTGCGGAGCTTTTACATGTCGGATAGGGTTCGGCCGGTTTCAGCATGTTTCGGTCGTGTCGACAGGCACCAGTCACTAGGCCACGCTTCTGCTGTGAACAATGCTGGAGTTGCACAGAGCAGTGCTCACATCATTGATTCAGAATTTATGCTGAAGCTGTGGGCCCTGGTCTTGCTACGCTGACTTAAAGTACCTAATTACTTATATTGTACTGTATGATGGTCAAAAAGAATCAAGTCAAGCGGAGATGCGAACTTCCGTAGCATGCGGTTTGCAAGAGCCGCATGAAGATCTTGCATCAGCCGGTGGTGGAGGCCATGCCTGGTCAACTGAGTCAACCTTCGCCTGCAAGGCGCAAGAGCCTGCAGAAGACTTCCATGACATTCTGGAAAGCTTTCCGGAGCTTGTTCATCTTGATTTCTCTTGAGTGTGCGCTAATCCCTGCGTGTGGATTCAGAGAACTTCTGCGTCTGGGTGATTGTGCTCCAAACCTAGGTATAGGCCCTTCATTTTGAGGAAGGTACATGGATCTGTGGCATGTTGGTCCGATGCCTTACAGCCCTGTGCCCTGCTTCCTGCGCAACTTTCCTGTGGCAGGTCTACGGCTTCGGACTTGGCCTCATTTCTCGATTCAAGGAATCAGCAATCGGGTTCAGCGGGTGCTCAAACAGTGATGTCGCGTTCAGAATCAGCGCATCACCCTAAGACCCACTAGGTCGAAAGTGGGTAATCCTTTGCTCATATGCGGATTGAGGCCCCCCTGGAAAGCTCTCCAGCTGGCAGGTGGCCACAAGGGGCGAGTAGTTGGCAATTTCGGCATTTTCAGCCCGAGCACCATCGTCTGACTTGTGTATTGACATACTGGTGCACGGATGTTCGTCGGCGAAGCAACAGCCTAACAGGCTTTCTGCAAGAGAGCTCACAGGAAGAAGAGAAAGGTGTAGTGCAGCTTCAGATGCCTACGTCGAACACGAAGCACCAGACTTTGCAGTGGCTGGTAGGGCAGCTGCTGAGACATCGTCAAGAAGCTTCTTTCTGTACCTCGCTTTCACGACAGTTTGTACTTGTAGTTGGCATATAGGTTTTGTCATAGAGCAGTAGATGACAGGCGTGCAAAACGCCACACCCACAGCGCTCGAGAGGCCTGGTGCTCTCGCAAGACCCAGCTCCAAGCCAAATGTGGCCACCAGCCAGGCCCTGCCGTGCTACATAGGTCTTAGCTTCGTGGGACTTGGGCGAAGACTTGGCGAAGTTCAGCGTGTCAGGATGACCCGCTCCCGGACGGCTGGGAGCGTCTTCCATCTACGCACTACAAAGACAAGTGACACTGGCGCCTTGATTCTAGCTAGCGACGGCACCAGCATGCGCATGAGTCCCTAGCCAGGTTCTACTACAGAAAGATCGGCACCGAGGCTCTTGCTTTCGGTTCAGCCCGATGCTTTTCCTATGCATTCCTCGCCGCAGGAGACGCAGTGGGAGAGACCCACAGTACCGCATCCACCACGAGCTGACGGTCGGGAATGGGAGAGAAGGGCGTCCCGGCTGCATCGAGGTGTCGTTGAGACTGCCGGAGCCGACGCGTAAGCAGTAAGCTGCTCTGAGACAGGGTCCCAGGCGCCTGGCTGCTGAGATCCTTCCTCCGAGCATTCTGTGCGGTGTCTCTCCCTGCCCTCTGCGCACAAGTCGCCTGCTTCACTCATCCGTTTTCTGCGGATGCTGACACTTGAGGCATCGACAAGCCAACCAGGCCCATGCCTTAGTGCTGCCTTAGCCAGGCGACAGGGTGTGATTTGCAGCCTGGAGAACCGCAGTTCGCACGGAGGCAAGTTTTACTGGTTCAACGCCCGCACCAACCAGACGCTCTGGGACGAGGCAAGCTTCCGTCAAGTTCTCATGTGAGTCTACTTGTAGTTGACAGCTGCCGTCTGTGGGCCAGAAGTTACAGCTGCAGCGGACTGAACTCTTCCTGCGTCTTCAGTGTCGGCACCTGGCGTCGTTTGGCCGAAACACCTGAGTGTTCATCTGCAAGAGCGAGCGTATTGCCAGCAAGCAGTGTTGGCAATGTTTGCAATGCAGCTCAGCCTTCGACAATTTGATGCATCCATGCCATGCCACGGTTGTTGAGCGATATTTGCTCCAGTTCTTTCGCTGCAGGCTCCCGAGGTCAACCTGTGAGTCGCATTGCAGAAACCTAATTAAATCCATGGCAAAAAACAGGGGGAGCCTCCATCTGAATCTACGCTGCACAGTTGTGCGCTTTTGTGCGCCGTGGGTTCAGAGTTCACACGGTGTCTGAGTTCGCTCCCGCCACGTGACGCCAGGGCTGAAGCAGCTGAAGCAGAGGTGAGCGTGGATTCCGTTCAGCGGGTTTAGTGCTCCTCACGGCTGTGTGCTGTGGTAGCACAGACTGTCGAAATTACTTTGAATCACCTGACAGCACAAGCCCAGTTTGAAGCCGTGGAACGAGTTCATGCCTGCCCCAGGCAGTTAAAGCCTTACTTAGATCTGCAATCGTTGCTTTCGCTTGATTCTGTCGAGGTGCTTGTGCACAAAGCTGTCGCATGCTTGTCAGTCCTTTGCGTAGAGGCCGGAAGCAAAAGGGAGTGGACTGTATACGCGACCTTTTTCTGAAGAACCAGGAATTCGGAATTGAAGTTGCCGGCGAGCTTGCAGGGCTGACAGTTCTGGGGTGTTCTGAGCTCAGCTTCAACTGTGTTTTGTTGTCATGTGTCGATCATGCAGGCATTCAAAACAGGGCATTCGGCTGGAACCTCCTCAGATTGCATGCCTTGACCTCGAAAACTTGCATGACAGAATGACACAAAATTTTCAGTCAAGGGTGAGCTGCCACGCTGACTCCGTGCAGCCGAAACTTGCCATACTTCGTGAGCACAGTGAGACCCAATGTCGCACTGTCCCTGGTGTACATGGTTCGTTCTGGCTCTGCATTGCCCTGTGCAGAATCACTCCATGAACCAAAGTGTGCGGTTGCTTAGAGTCGTAGAGATCCTCAAGCGCAGCCACGAAGCGCCTTGGCTCCCTTGGCTCAAGCCCGGGCCCGGCGGGGTGCCCGGGAACCGAACCTCCTTAAGAGCGGAGCTCTGCTGGGATCCTGGACTCACCTCGGAGCATCTGCAAAGCACCCCGAGCTCCTTGACACGGCAGTCTCTCAATGCATCGCCAAGGCCATGATTGATGGCAGATGCAGCTCGGCCTTGTTGCTTTGGGTCTCTTGTCACTCCTTCCGCACCCAGCACCCACTCTGGGTGCTGGCTCCTGCGTGCTCCCATCTGATTCGGGATACCTGATAATGCGTTATTTGGCTGCTGAGCCTGCTCATGTGTTAATATCTCCGCTGCTTGCGTGCTGTCACGTCAAGACTCCGCCATAATAGTCAGCGGCAGTGCAGTGGTGCAAGCAAGCAGCGAACATGAGATCTGAGTCCTTGCAGTGGCAAGACCTTCAAAGAAGTATACCACCACTGCACGCCCAGAGATTCATGTTATTCCGGGCTACCAGAACCGGATTCCCAAAGCATTAAGCAGCCGGGCCATGAGGTCGCAGCTTCTGCGCTTGACCGATGATCCAGTGGTTCCTTCGTGTGGCAGGAGTGGGTCACGTCCCTTCAAGTCCAAGTGCGTGGGATGCTTTGCAGGATGCTTCTGCTTCCTGCAGTTGGCCTCTGGCGGGGCCACAGAGGATGAAGCCTGGGCAGAAAGATCTTCAGTTTCGCTGATGAAGAAGCTGACGCGGTGCTTCTGCTGTACTCTTCAGCCTGCCTTCATGTCAGGAGAAGCATTAGGAGATTCTTTCAGAGCTGTAGGGGACAAGCAGCTTAAAGCATTCTCAAGTCTGAGTTCGAGCGTACCGGCCATCCCGGGTTTGTTGCCGAGGATGTCTGCTCGGCGATGCAGACGAGGCGAGGCGACCCCAGCAAAGAGCGAAAGCCACTTGGTCCAAGAGTCGAGTTCCTTCCCAGCCTCGGATACCTGCTCGGGCGCCTGCGCTCTTGTCAGTATGCTGAAGCCGAAGGAAAGAGAGGTCTTGATTTTTGTTTCAGCGGCAGCACCTGCACTCTCGGGCGCCAAGGAACCCACTGGTGCAGACAGCCATCAACGCAGAAGCCCTGGACAGGTGCCCTTCGTCTGTGTGAAATCAGGGTGTCCGACCTTGAGCAGCTGTGGCTCTGGCGGTTTGGGGATCCTGACGACCGCAGATCGAAATTATGTGTGGCTTTTCCTTCCTCAGACCGCTCTTGAGCTCGAGTTCCCCAAATCGTTGCCAGTCGAGCCAGGCTCGTCGCAAGGACGAACAACAGTGAGGCATTCAGTGAGACCTTCAGCGAGGAGGCAAACCAAAGTGTAATTCTGGATCACGCGCGGGACTTATTGTCGGATTGGATCCGGTTACACGTGTTGAGTCTGCGGCCTGCAACCGGGTAGCTTCACGGTAAAATGTCAGAACCAACCGTGCAGCACTTCTTTGCGCTGCATGCGGCTGCTTGAATTTGAGTAATGTCTCGTGAGGTTCAGAACGTGAAGGACTGGTTCAACAGCCGACCGTTCCAGACTAAGCTTCAACCCGGATGCCGTGTCACTGAGATGCCGGGATCATTGCACGAAGTGGCCGAATGAGTCCTTCTCAGGCCCGAGGTCCAAGTCCTCATGAAAGCGGTGCTACTCGGCTGCGTGAGACTTTGCCCAAAACTTCTCAACCTGAATCAACCTGTCTCCATGTTGCATTTCAAAGTCTGGCATGGCATATCCCCCGGACAATACAGAATTCGGCCACATGGCGATAGGCGACAGAGCCGGCAGAGGCCGAGCAGTTCTTGAAACCGCAGAAAGGTGTATTTCTTTGTCGATTGCTGCGAGCTTGGGTCACGTTCTCAGAGGGTGACCTTTGCATCGATGGAAGTCTTAATCGAGTTGGCCAATGGCAGTACCATGATTCCAAAGTAGGCGTGCGTGCCCTCTCCGGTTCCCTTTGCTTTGCCCTTCCCCTTCCCCGTTGGCGGCCGATGCATTGGCCGGTTGGCCGGGCAAGTCGATTTGATACTTTCGGAGTCTTGAAGCCTTCCTGGCTATCTTGCCCGTATACATGTTCTCGACAGTGTAAACATGGATGCAGACAAGCATCAGCTGACACCTGGCTCAGATGCCTACTTTACCACCTGTACCGTGCAAGCTAGCAATGCCAGGCCAGTGTAGACTGCTTGTAAAACTCTTGCGGCTCGTGTAAAAGGCTGGCACGCCGCTTCAAATGCACTTCACATCCCCGGTAAAGTGGGCCGAGTGTTCGTGAAACCTGATTCATTCAGTCGGAGTTACGCTTCGGCCTCCCTTCGCGAATTGCAAATGGTGGGATCTGCAACATCCGGGCCATCCCGGGCCCGCAAGCATAGTGTGGAGCGGCGACGTTATGAAGGAAAACAAGCCATGCGTTATGCATGGTTCCCCCATCCGATCGGCGACGAGTTGCATGTCCTGAAGAATAACCCGTGCTGCTCCCTGAAACAGCACAGCTTTCGTAAATGTAGGCATGGAACAGGATGCGATTTGGAAAAAGGTGTGGTTTTATCATGTCGGGACACTTGCAGATGGGTGCTGACAAGCGCGCACCTGTGCGTTGGTGGAAAAGCTCCAAACTCCCATGCATTTCAGCCAGAGGTAAAGACGTGGTGGGCTTCGATTTTAGATGTCGATGTTACGAGGGCCTCCTCCGCGTTGCTGAACAGCATGTTGTGGGACAGACGTGGTTGATACATACCATGCTTGTGCATTCAGTGCTGTGTCGAAGGCCTTCTCTGCCTGTGGTGCGGCATTGCCCCTTGCATGCAAGCGGAAATGCAGATGCCAGCACACTGTCACTATCTGAGAGTTCACCATGGTCTGTTGCGACGTTACTTGCTGGCATACCAAGTTGAGATTTCACTCGCCAAGTACCGATCTCAGCTTGGGCGGGTCTTTGCTACACGATCGCACGACTGTTGACCAGTGTGGCAATCAAGAAGTCTTTGGAGTGACGGAGTGTCAACGCGACCTTTCATGCGGCGGAACATCAGTGGATTTCTGCGAGGCAAGTACATCTCCTGGAAGTCTCTTGCAGAGATGGAGGCAACATCGGACCAGAAGATGTCCTCAATGCCTCAAGTGTTCCGACAGAGAGACCCGACCGCTGCCGGCTGCCAGGCTGGGGGAGGATGCCTCTCTATCCCCCTGAACATGTTCTTGACCCTGGCGTCATCTGCTCAGTCTGGGCTGTGAAGCGTGAAGCCTCTAGTACTCTAGGAATGCTGGGTCGCTTTTGTGTTTTTCAGATTGCAGAACGGCAGTGAGTGCGGAAGCCATTGCACCTGACTCGGTAAAGGAAGCCGCCCTCAATGAGCCGCTCAATGAATGAACGTTATACCGAGAAACGGCGAAAGAGACAGGGAGAGTACGTACCCCAGGTACACACACTCACTCTCTCAAGTAGATTTCGTGCTGCAACAATTAGAGTTTGACCAAGGCTTCTTGTACCTAGCAGCTGGGATGACTATGATCACCAGTAGATGGTGTATCTTTGTCGACGATTCAGTGAACCGCTCCGTCCCGAGGAGTGTACCGGCTAGCATCATGCACCTCAATGCTGAGACACGCCGCTCGATGGGCGTGAGGAACTCAGAGGATGAACCATCAGATGGATCTTCAGTGTCTCATTTGAGCAGTCTTGGATTGTGCAATGCCAATAGGGTCTTAGAGAAAGCCTGCGCTGCTCGGAATAGCGGGGGAAGTCCTTGACGATGCTGCTCACAAGCCAGCTCGCATAACCTATTCAAACGACACGTGCCTGGGATGCTCATGCTTCTTGAAACTCGAGCTACCAAGCTCTGGACCGCAAAGCAACTGCAGTCGGTCTTTTCGTAGTGTCGTAGTGCTCCATACAGAGCTGTGATCTAAAGTTAATGATAGTAGCTTTGCTATGCTGTCGCCCGGAGAAAGGCCATTCTGGTCTTCTTTGCCATCTTGTTCGCCATCATGTGGAAAGGGGATCTGATCCAGCCGGCAAGGACCCTGGGCATAGCAACATGCTACTCGTTGTCGCTGTCAGGTCTGCAGAGCCGGATGGAGAACTTAAGGTCTTGATGAGTCGGGGCTTGCACCAGTGATGGTGTGCAACTTTCGAGGGAACTCTGCAAATAGCTGCATACACAAGACACCAAGCGAAATACCATGTGAGCGCACATCATTATGAAGAAATCCTGTAACTCCTCGTGGTGAGCGCGAGCTTGCACAATCCCGATAGGATACGCTCTGTGGCCGAAACAGGTGCAGGGAGTCACCTG